CATATTGTGTTACATGTCAGTAAAGGATAAGTTCATTCGATTATTTGATGAATTTCATCATGAATCATCTCATCATTCGGAGCCTGAAATGTGAAGAAGCTAAGAAGGAATGCACGGCTGTTTCTAACCGACTGGGTTTGATAGATGATGCAATTTCATCGACCTGATCGAGGAACTAACGAGAACTCAAAATTAGATCACAAGAATCCTATCTAGATGACCACCAGGTGGATCATCGGACGGTTTTTCATCTCTATATATTTAGTGCTGCTGGTTATTTTACAAGGATGTTACCGGTATCACATCTCACTTATCTAATCATAAAGCTCCAGGTTTACGGCCCGGCCGAAAAAACATTAATCAACAGCATTCCTAATAACTCTATTATTTCAGCATCCATTATAGAAGTTTTTGATCGATTTTTCATCAGTTCATCTGTGAAAATTTATCTGTTTGTGGCAGCAACCAAACCAATGTGCTTCTCGGTTGCCCAAAGTCGTCGTACTAAATTCCTTATAGAACGTGGTCAACGTACATGAGAACAACTTGAAAATATCACTGTTGACCAACTTTTTGTAAATTGGGAATCTTTATCATCCACACCTAACAAGTTAGGGCGTATACACTGCATTTAAAAAGTATTGCCCTTCAATGCAAATTACGTACAAAAAAGTAGGCAGTGGTTTTGCTGCCATTACAGGTCAAATTTCTAACTGTTCAATTTTAAACATGGGAACGAAGTGTATTTATCATCAGATAGCCAAATTTCAGTTAAATGGATCAAGATGAAGTGCGCTATATTGCGCTAACACCTAGTGATACAGTGACGCGCAAATAAAACCAGATTTCTTTACTCTACGTGTCACTGCATCGTCAAACGTTAATCCGTTACAGTACTCAATTTGTGATCAATCCAACTCCCAAAACAGGCTACATAGGACAAAATGGAACGTAATACCGAGTCAGGCCAATCGCAAGGTACTGCTAGACCATTGTGCCAAAAATCACCAAAGTTAGCAGCGTACTTAGTAGGGTTTATCCATCCATGTTCCCGGTTGTTCATCGGTAATAAATGTACCGGTGTGTCTTAATAGGACGCGCGATACACAATTCGTAATGGAACCAACTGAGGTTTCTCAAACGTGAGTTCAAGCAGAAGCAAACAGGTCGCTATAAAACAACTTGACACAAAGATCGATGCCGACTGAAAAATAGTCAATTAATTAGTCGTGGTGGGAGATCACAAGTCACACGAGTGGATATGAGACTAAGTGCTGGTATAAACATGTCACAAAAATGTATCATATTGCGTATTTACCATTTTTAGATTGATTTGGGAAACTAAGACTGTGAAGTTAAACAGCGCTGGATCCGACTTCGTTCAGGGCGCCTCATTGGTCAATTAATCACATATTTTGTTGCCCCTTGATTNCTTTCCTTGTTGAAAGGAGGCAGGCAGACCAGTCTGCATGATGTCGATCTCGCTGATGGACGCAGATTAGGTACCTCCATAAAGGTAGAAGACAGCCCCATCAGACCACATTACATAATCACTTTGGCTGTGTTAGCGAGGTGCACTCGGAGCATTCCGCGAATTCCATACATTTCGACCAGCCCGATTCGTTCACCGTTACCCGATGTAAGAATTTGTATGGGTAGAAGGAAAGATAAGACAACTCTGGTTATGTGTTTGATTAAATATTTGAGAGCTGCCAAGCGAACATTATGAATGGAGATCTGGGTGTTTGAAAGAACAATTATTTTCGCATTATTTCTCAATTCCTCCCTTGTCATTGGCTCCTTCCTGGACCCATTTGTTTTCCTCCTAATTGATCCGGTTTGAAGAAAACACTCTTTGCATTGTTTCACCGTTGAAGCGATTGGCTTTCTCTTTAGTGAACTGAAACGTTTGCCCCTTTTTCGTATTTCCCACAAACTAAGACCTGAAGCGTTCTACCAAACTGAATGAGTTTTGTCATCGTCCGTTAGGTTCATCTCCCAACCCCAAACACAAACGATTCAGGAGGGTGTGTGAACGGACTTGTGAGTTCAGATCACCCATTACTATTTGACACATTTTTCATGTGGGTAATGGAGCATTTGGTTAAATTTCAAATGGGAATTCGTCGTGTATACAGCAAATGAAGCGTGAACTGAAAAGTTCGGAAGCACTTGACAGCTGTTTCCAACTTGTTGGGTCTCATCAACAGTGCGAATCCATCGACCCGACTGGGGATCGAACCCGGGACTTCGTGGGCGGAACGCAAGGGTGCCACCCACTACGCCACCGGGCAGCTGTTCGGACAGTTTTTCATTTCCCACTTACACGATATAGTACAACCAATTACCCACATGAAATAATCAGTCAGGTTGTGAATGTTTCCTACCGATTCATGACCCTGGAGGCTAATGCTGAGTTGAGCAGGGTCCGTGGCCCGCAACGAACTTTCAAAGATGGATTGTGATATATCGTGTTAATCGAAAATAAAAAACGGTCTAATCAGCTGCCCGGTGGCGTGGTGGGTAGCACCCTTGCGTTCCTCCCATGAAGTCCCGGGTTCGACCTCCAATCGGGTCGATGGATTCGCACTACTGATAAGACCCAACCATTTGGGAACAGCTGTCCCATGTTTCCAAACTTTTCAGTTCAAGCTTCTTTTGCTATATGCACCACGAATTCCCATTTGAAATGACACATTTTTGTCGGCTAAAAGTGCAACCGAACCACAGCTAGACTTTCTCTACTCAGCGGTGTTTTCGTCTTAGTGAATCACATGCCAAATTTTTGGGCACTGACGGTGACTCAATCACCCATTCAACTTAATGCACTTCACCGAGGTCACTGAACTTTCCGCAATTTAAACATAATACTTCAAACTGCCAAGACCAATTTGAACAATAGGTGAATCGTAAAATAGTCCCATAGACAATGTAGATAATGATATTCGTGAAGAAATTTATTTTCCATATATTGCATCAGGCGTTTACATATATATAACTGCATCACCAAAACTTACCATAGTAACTATGATCAGGGCCGAATGCATCGCCTACGGTGTAGTATGAGCAATGCACTTTTCATTACATGTACCATGGGCTTGTTCGAATAGCAAATTAGTTGGGAGTCTTCAGACAGTTTTTGTGTTGAACATAGGTGTCTGGGCTGTTTCTCATTAGTTGCGCCTTAACTGTAGCTCTCCCATTCCTGGCTAAAACATCAGTATAACCGAAGGAAACAGAACACTATCGATTTGCCTGATAAATATACATCAAATGTATCTTCAATGGGATAGGGGGAGCAAGGAATATAACAGGAGTACTGTAACACTTTAGGAGCGATCATCAGCTGGTGGTCTAAACGATATTATAAATAGCATTCACTAAAACGCTGAAATGGAATCCAAATGAGTGAGGTAATTGTAAAAGAGTGAGTGAATCTTAAATTAACTGGCGTGGTTAATTTATCCAAAACCATCACACAGAAAGTGTTGTTCTATTTCTTTCGTACTTCATGCCCCCTTTCCCGTTCTCTGACACGTGAATCAGTAGTTTGGACAAGGATTTCACCGATTAGATTGCTCTGTCGAGTTCCGTGATCTCATATGGCATTACTAATGACCATTCTCGTGGTACACCACTTATCTATATTTTGGTGCCGACAGGTGTTCAATCATCTTCAGATTCGGACGTTTGGGTGAACATATTAGCCCAGAATCTACTGGACTAGAGAAAACAATCGATTATATGGTTCAAAGGATATCTACGAGATATCCCACGGATAAGATATAACAAAATGCTTCGTTGAAAACTATAGAATCCGTACAAATGCCTCCCGAATTGGTATTTGACTAAAACATGCTTCAGTAGTGTAGCACTTTCCAGATTCCCATAGGCAAAAGACAATCTACCTAGTAGTCCATATTCATTTCCAAGGCTCACCATTTCGATAACAGGAGATTTTATTGTAGTATTAAACTGAACGATTTGCTTATGAAAACTAGGGTTTCCAAATGACATTGATCAGCCTCCTGTTTGACTCCTAAACCACCACCGGATATCTGTCATCGGATTAAACCCAACAGAAAATTACGGGTGATGCAATTGGAATTTCTTGAACAAAGCAGTGCGTGCCATCCTCTGATGTGCGATAAATGTTGCTTTCGCCATTGCAGATCACAGCCGCGTTGGACATGCAGTCAACTGTAGTAAAACCGTTCAGATTGCTCCAAAAATCGTTTCTTTCCGGACGTTTGTCACGTCATCACATATACGCATTCTACTACTATGATGTAGTCAAAGTTCGTTTTCCACATAAGGGTCGGGTAATTAATTTAGTTATGCCAACAATTGTGCTCATGTTACCGTCAACGCAGTTGCGTACGTCTGTTCCTATGACTCCGAATTTAAGGGCATCTCAAACAACTATCCTTTCTCCTTTGCTCGCTCTAATGGAAAATACTGATGTTTTGTATTTATCCACTTATGCATGGTATAGATATAAATGCATATTCATCGAGCACTGCATCTCGTGGTCAATGTTTCAAGGTTCAACGTTCACATTTTTGTTTTCATGCTTCCTTTATCTTTTCCTGATGGCATATTATATCTTCATCTTAGGTATTAATTTATGGTTTATCCATAACTATTTTTCATCCTGTGCAAAAATATCACCATAACTGTTACTGTTCTACTGACCAAAACCATTCGTATTTGCTAAACCTCTTACTTTCTGTCCCATTTCTGTTGAAATGAGAGGTATAACATGCAGATTTTTCAGGTAGTAACTGAAGGCATACCAGTTCAACCAGTAATGTAAGAAAATGACTCCATTGGAGGCTGTAACTGAAGGTGTGTTCATGTTAAGATGTACACCAACAACAACAAAAATTTGAACTAAAATCTAGTTGAGAAATGTGAACAAAATCTTACGTATTCGATCATTACGCGTACTCATGAGTAGTAAGAATGCGGAATGAGATTCTTTCAGCATACAGTATTCTATGCTACCTTGCTTACAGATTGCTGCCACTTTCCTTGTAATTATTTTAATCTGCAGTGATGGAAACATTATCCCTTACGATTCCGATATGGATATTTTTGTCCTTGCCGCAGATGAGCAGAAAATTCGTCGATTGGCCACTGAAAGGGTGAACATTACTAAAGGGCAGGTAAGCTTCCATCAATCGGAATGAACTTTCGTCGGGCCGCGTAAGCTGACTCCTCAATTCTTATTTTCTGTAACTATCAATCAGCGGGTCCGTCGATCGACGTTTGAATATTGCAGTTTGGTTGAGTGTATGCTACAGGGAATGAAAGGTTTTCATAAGTAATAAATAAATGTAAATAAATGTCTTTTTACTTCCTTTTTCTATTTATTGAATATACAAATGTACAGTCAACTTTCAGGAAGGGGGCTGCGGCCATACAAAGACTACTCGGTGAAAATACAGATATAGGGAAGACGAGCGGCAGTGCAGCGGTTTGAACCCTGGACACCCAGTTCACTAGTTGGTTACCTAATCACTTGGCCATCACCGCCCTTTTTATACGGAAGTGATGTTGTCATGCTGGTTCAGTGTGTTACATACCACTGAAAACCTTGAACGCATTCTAGAGCCGCTCCATTTTGGCCAGAAACTTTTACTCGAAACTGGGTGAGAGGATTAACTAATAGAGCGAACAAACAACTTAAGCGAATACGACTGAGATATGGCACAGCAACGGGATGCATGATGATCGTAGAGTACTAAAGATAAATGCGCCCTAATTCATTAGGTAGTATTCAAACCCCGAACAACCTAACTGCTCAGACGTTTTCACTGACTCCTTGATATTGAACACGACACACCTTATGGTTGTGACAGATCTTTAATGGAATCTTCTCGTGTGGGGCTTTTCCAGGATTGGGCTAACGACACCTACGATGAAGTAAACTTGAATTAGTGTTATAATGATCTGCATTTCTGCTGCAGCCGTCTCACACTTCACTGGAAACAGCTTAGTTTTTCTGGTGCTGCTAGCTTCTACTTTTTATTGGAATATTTCCGTGTTAGTTTAGAATAGGACCCACCGTGGTGGGCTTAGATACGGATTGGTCAATACTGTTCCGCTTGGTTACTCCCTTATATAATTCTATTCCTGTATTTCTGGAAGTTTTTACCGATTAGTAATTATGATCAATTATCAAGATTTGCCTGAGTATTCCGTATCTTCCCTTTAGCTGTGGCGTAGAATGCGCCGATTCATCCAATGGCATCTAATAAATTAACCGCCCGAGGACAAGCTGGTTTGTTAGCATCGTTATAAATCCACAAGACAGTACCAGGAAGAAGAGAGTAATGTATTAGGAATAATAACAAGGGTATTGGTGAATTGTCATGCATACTGTTAATTGTCTCATTTGGAAGAAGTATTCAGAATTCCACAAGCACACAAGATAATTTATGTAACGGTCCAACGATAGAAACGCATTTTGCGTATTTAGTAAATTAAATCCTTCAATCCACTGGCGAATTCCGTGGGAGTCCAATAATTGCTTCTTGGTTCATGCAAACTACTCACAAGTGTGAGTAGCACCTCGAAACAATAAAATGGAATGTGCATTTATTCGTTTATTTGGCATAAGCTTTTTTTTTACATTCAAAATATTTTATTCACATGACACCAAACACCGCCTATATTTTCCCTCATTTTCAGTTCAATTTGGTGACACGTCCCGGTCCTTACTGCACGCTCAACCCAGGTGAACGAATGAATTGCAAAGGTCAAAAGGTTCCGTCGATGCAAGATACATGTTCATTTTGCGGTCCCTTGGCTCGAATGTTTATGGATTACGGAAACTACATCGATATGTTCCTTATCAATATCGAACTTCACACGGATAGTAGTGGAGTGCCGATTCAACTGGGGTATGTCATAGAAGAAGAAGCAAGACTGGGACTCCTCGAATTACCAATACTGCTTCCCCAGAGACGTTGTCGCATGATGGGTTTGGACGTTCCCTGTCCGCACCATCCAGGTGTGCTTCTGGGAATGTTATACAACACTCAGTGGCTCAAGCCGTATTATTTGTGCAACCCGGAGACTGGGAAATGGGAGAATTCTTGAGAAATCAATTTAAGTGAATGATTACCGGAGGCTAGACCCCTTTTCCCGAAATTTTAAACTACTACAAACTGCGGGTAGCAAAAGTTGGTTTTGATAACATCTATACTGCGTATTTGATACTTTCAATCATTTACTGTATTTCTATACCCCATTCCAAGAGGTGTAAATAGGATTAGCTCAGACTATTTGCTTCCCTTTCGTAGAAAGTCTAACTTGACTTGACACTTCCAATTTGAGGTCTGAGTCTTGAAGTTATTGAACCACCTATGAATGAAATTGTTGATGGCTTACACTTAAGTGGAAAGACAATTGCGTTCTAGATTGAAAAGAGTGGAAATTCAAAGGAAAATAGCAGATAGCATTTAAATGAGGATGCGCCTGTACGGTCGTCTGCCGATCATCGATGTAATCCAGTATGAGTTATTTAACCATGACGAGGCTCTCCATGATCAAGATCCCGTCAATGTGATGTGTTACTGCATGCACGGCATAAATACCATAAGAAACCACAGTATATGACGCTGCCATCCAGGAGCGCGTTGCATCATCCCTGACGAAATAGCTTACCATCAAACACGATGTCGGAATCTGAGTTATTCAATTTATTACTCTGAGTTTGTTACGGTTTAGAAAATAACACATTCTTCGGGTTTTCTAGTTACAATCAACGCTTCGTTCTATTCAAACAGTTCTAACAGATCACTTTTGGCAATTCAGATCATTGTACCATGATCGTTCGCCCAACCTCTAGCTGTAAAAACAGTTATCGCCACAGACGCATCATGGCCCTAGAGAATGGGTTGCGTTGATAGGATTTCTCGAAATGCGTTACTGAAACCTATTCTACTGCAAACGGGAATTCACGATCAATTGCATTTTGTAATCCTGACCATTTTAGCAGAAATCGCGTGCCCTCCGATTGGCTGCATTGCACTCTCGTGCTCCTCCATCACGTTGGAATTTATCTCTCCTGTTTCATCAATATCTCTATGTTAATCATGTCGGGGACCTATGGTTATTCTCGTCAGGACATGCTCCGACTGAAAACTGTGAACTCTGTGCTACCCATTAATTATTTGCTTGGCGAAAGTCATAAATATCCTTGCATCAAAAAGCGCAGATGGGCCGGATGTCAGACTGCATTTACTTGCTCGCTTCCTGCCAAGTTGTCTGAACCACCATTGGTCACAAATAACGCTCGCTCGCTCGCTCGCTCGCTATTCGCGAAGATCTGGGGATTTTTATTTTATTTTATGGATATAGCTCATCTTATAGGACGTTAAGACAAGATGCCCGACCGAAAATCAACAGATTTATGATAAAACACACTTATAATGCTGCCAATCTAATCTTCCTATACACCCCCACACTCACTCCAACTCCGCCCACGAAGCAACCGCACAACTGTCGGCCAAATCATGCGTCATTCACCGGTTTGAATGTAGATACGGAGCATCTTACATTGGCAGACCAGATAGGCAGTTACATACACGGATCCAGGAGCACATCCCATATTGGGTTAGACGCCGATTGACCGAATCACATGATCAAAAGTCATTCTCCAGTTCACCCCTCAAATCCACACCCGCATCACCTACCACTAACGCACTAGAACATTACACCAGCACCAACCCCTACCGAACACAGAACACACAAACAGCCGCATCATCTGTCATTCGACATCTGTTGATGAACAATCGTGGTCCGGACCGGAACAAGCCGATATAAGATCATTTATGCTAACAGCAACCCTTGGGTTTGCGGACAATGGAAACATGACTTGCGTATGCAAAAAGAACGGTCAACCACATTAGCATTGCGTTGGTAGTGGTAAAAGTGTGCTGATTCGGCCCTGTCGTATTCGAGCATAACCTGATATACTTCTCAACGATATAAACTGTAGTTTCCTGCTGTTTCGTACCAGTTGAGATGCAGCGAAATCTGCCGTATGAGGTCTGCCGACGCAACGTCCATTACCTGAATCTTAGATGTTGTTATATAAAGCTCAATTGCACCGATTTTCATTGGAGGTAGTCACTCCAATTGCCGCAATGTAGTGCACAAAAAAGTACATCAAACTATCACAATTAATTTTCAGGGCCCTGTTGGATTTCGAATTGTCCATTAGGTCGTGTTGGATTGTTGGGGTCCGCTGACTAAGATAAAAAACGCATATAATGTACCAAATGAAACGGTTGTTCGCATCTCATATATGCGGGCAGATGATGGAAAGCAAATAGGTTTTCTTATTTTATGAATTGAAACTATCGGACGTCAACCGTAACCGGGGATAATGACTCGGGATCGATGAACCTGACTAAGAACATGAAACACTGATCTCTCAACCCCGATAGGAGATAATTGTTCGAGACCCAAGACCGAATGCAATCCTACACACAAATAATCGCTGGAGCTGAACAAGTCTACATCACTTTGATGTGAACATTTTGCGATTGCAGTGCGAATAATTAAACTTTTGCATTTAATTGGCAAAAAAGGAAAGGAAAGGCTTTTCACAAACTTAATTCATTATTCTGATTGAAGCTAAAGTATACTGTTGAATGGAATTACTGGCATTTTATGCAGGGAATGCAATTTCAACAGTATATCAATAACCATTCAAAGTCTACTGATCATCCTGAAAACCGAGCGTTTGTCGATTCAAATCAATATTTTTATCAAAAGCGCACGCCTTGATAATATGTTTTTAACCGTTGGACAGCAGTTGGCAGTGATTAATAGAGCTTAAGAAAGTCTCGTCTATACAATTATGTTATCCCACATCACAATGTATCCCAACAAGTATTGGTCATGTCTGGAATAATTCAACCAAGTTACAATTCCTTGAGTCTCGAGCTGGTGCTACGATGAGGTAATCTGTTTGTTCATGTTTGTCTTTCAAAGCACATATATGCCAGTTGACGCTTGAAAAATTCGAATCACGCACAAGCGCGATAGGATTCTGGTTTGTGTACGTGAGATCACCTGATTTGGTCCATATTGAATTCATCCAACTGTATCGAGATTCCATAACAGAACATTTTTGGAAGAGAAACAAAGAAAAACTGAAGATGGAAATTGGAGATTCAAACACATCAGTTAGGTTGGTGTGACAGAATGTCTGCATGTGGTTTTGATGACTGATCAGAGAGGAGACAAAGCTGCTTGGTTGAGATCCGAGCATAGATAGATAGCACACATGACATTCGTGTTATAAATGCGCAGCCAAATAACCGTTCGATGGCATAATACTCAGTTGCCCAACCATAGTCAAATGGAATTGTTTCCGACATCATGGAGGGTACATTGTTAGTAGAAGATCCTTATGTTATCCTGAAGAGGGTGTTATTTATATGATTTTCTGATCTTCCTCCTCTTTGTAGTAATAGTCTTCATCCTGGCGTATTACATTCTGGTGTTCATAGAAATAGATCGCTTATCGATCCAATACTTTTTGCTTTGTTTACTTGTGATTGACTAAAATATTGAACCGTACATCTGAAACATAATAAAAACTCGATGATGTGGTTTAGTGCTCAAAATAAAAGCTGAACCTAAGGCTCTGGATGGCTGATGTGCTAGTCACGGAGTAGCCTGTCGGTCAGCAGAGATATCGGCTCTCAAAGAAGTAAGTGTGTATTCTTGATTAGCATCCAAAATGAATAATTACAGCACATTATTTTCAATAAAACCTAATGATAATGAACATTTAACCCGTTTGATCCGTATATTGAAGTTAACATCATTTTGAAGTCTATTTGAAAAAGACAAAGAGTTTTCAACATATTTTAAATACAAACTGGCGTATATATACAATGGTGTGTACAGAATATCAGCTTGAGACTGAAGAACTGAGTCGTTCTGAGGCCTGGATGGCGAATCTAATAGAGAGAGAAACATCCGTATCACAGGATTCCGACTAATCCGTTACATCCACTTCGTTCGACTTAGTTGTACAGATCAGATTCCTTCCCATTCACCGGTCAGCCCGTTGCATACTCGACGTGGTTTTCGCCAATCTGTACCGTAAAGCTTTTCTAACAATCGGTGTGATTGTTGTGGGCAAGGGACCTCCAAACCCAGTATTTGACATCGACTCAATGGGATGAGCAACGGCCATTCTACCAAATTCCTGTCTGTTTGCCCTTCCAATACGAATCCAAATTTGACTGGCTTCCCCTCTTTGTTCGTGTGTAATTCAAGGTGAATAGAGAACAAATCAATATATTTGCCATAGTCCATAAAAACACGAGCAAACGGACCGCAGAACGCGCACATGTCGCTCAATTTGGCCACCTTAATGCCGTAACAATTCGCTCGCTCACCGGGCCCCCGTGAACAAAACGGGCCAGGACGTGTGATGAGATTGAACTGAAAGAGTTTGGTATGAACAGAATGCCCCCGGTTCATCAAAAGTTATATTCACCATCCTTTAGTCGATACATCATCAAAAGATTAGAAAAACAGCCGATAGAACGTTTTAAACCATACATCATAAGCAAATCACAGATAAGGTACCCTGGGAACGTTTCAGATTTCGTTAAGTGTATTGAAAAAGGATCCACTCGTTTAATACAAACAGAATTCATCATATGCACATGATTGGGTACCGTATTTGAAGACGCCGAGTAAATCATTAATGAACAACATTTATCTTCTCTTATTACATGCCAGGGACAGTAAAGAAATAAATGCATCATATTATTACGGATAAAGAACAATGAACCGTTTCCCGATTTACAAAACTATTTTCCCTGCGACTCGAGTTACGTTGGACACTGCCGAGAGAGGCCTAGATTGAATCGGTCGAAAACCGTCCATGGCGGAAACGAGCGCAGTTTGTGCTACAGCCCGACTGTTATCCACAGCTTTGAGGGTAGCACCATCCCAAAAGTTTTGGTAGCGGACAGGTTTGAAATGGTTAGAAACGGAGCAGCCAAGATAACTCGCTCGGTTATCCTGATTGAACTATTCCGAAGTACGTACATTATTCATGGGTTGTCATCAGGAGAGATCAGAGGTCGTCAGCTAATCACCACGGAGGCGACTATGAGTCGACTGAACAATCCCCACCCCACCCCCTACCCGTGATGCGCCCAAACCAGTTCGTTGGAACTCTCACTTAGCAATGGAAAGTCACCACTACCCCAATTACGTAACCAGAACACCAAGACCATTAAAGATGGAAATCAGCCGGATGATTACTTCAGAAACATTTTATCAGTGTGAATTCGCATTTCAGCCTTTCTAGCTTTCCGGTTCGAGCTTCGCGTATTCCATACACGAAGAAGTTCCTCAATGGTTTATTGAATCATGTCCTCCACTACTGTCATACACAAAAATATCACTCATCAAATGATATGTTACTTTATATCTTCTACAATGATAAAGAATTAACTATGTCGCACATTTCAACGTGACACAGAAGCGCTATTCATTATTTTTAAACACGCGATCCAGCCCACTGCATAATTACTTAATCCCGATTGCCATTTCGACTACGCCGTTCGAGTTTCGATTCGACAAGCGAAATCCAGGTTTCTGAGATGAGTGTCACTGTATGTTGAGGGTTAAATTCACATTATCAAGTCACGTGTGTCGGAAAATGAAACAAGACGACGACTGGACGACCAGCGAAACTTACTCAAAGTTCTTCCTAGAAATACTGTATTCGCCAGGTGGTGCTTCAAAAAAACCTAATATTAGTATATCAGTAATCGATTAGCATCAGACTTCAAAAGAGTTTAAATATAAATTGTGGTTTAAAAGGACATAAAACATTGATGTGAACTTCAATCAAAAGCACGTTTGAGGATATATCTCCGATCGGTGCTTGTGCCGATTTTCCGTCAACAGTTGATGTCAGTGTTGCAAGAAAACACTTCATACTGCGTACCACCTTTGTCATTGGTTATTCACCGAATTCGGGTGTGAACTAGCCTAACCATTTTGTGAAATCAAGAAGAATATGCCAAAAAGATTAAAACGACTACGACAACGTTGTGACGTACCTTTCCTCGTCTTATCCACCATCGATTTGTTGCCAGGTGACGAAGCTTGGATTCTTGAGAGCCGAGGATAAAAATATCCATGTCTGAATCATAGGGGATAATATTGCCATCCCTGTTGGGTTACCAAAAGTGCACTAATTACGAAACAACATGACCAATCGATAATCGCAGCCATCGCATAGAACAGAACAGAGTAGGCATATAAAAAATCTTGTTAGTTCGGGACATAGTCGTTCACTAGTTGTTACCAATGGAGAGCTATTTTTCTGGTTGACATTGAGGATTTCATTGGTTTAATGGTATTATCCTTAAATTACCGAATGTTTGCTGCATGCTTTCGAGTGATGAACAGCAAAAGGGATAAAGCCCATAGTCAGAAAGACCTACTGTTCATTTATCGGGACCCGTAAACTCATTCCCTCCTCACTAAGCAGATCGTCATGACATTCTGAACTTCTCGAATGAATTGATGCTCCAACGTCCCATTTGAACATTTGACGGAAGTCGCATCCTAAGGAAATTTGATGATGGCAACACTCACAGTTCGCAAATCCATCCAGCGTTCCGAAAATGTGGATTAGTCGAAACTCTTTCACACAAACCAACTAGAAGTAGATGGCAACTTCATCCACCAGACGTCAGTGAGCGACGGATCTCCAGAAAAATGCCTTGAACATCATTGTATGCCGAATAACCTTGCGGGAACGCATGCCTAGCAGTTCATCTGCCATTTCATCTTCATTAGCGGTCACACATACGGCCCATCACATTTACTGAACTTTTCAAAATGTGACCACATGTGCTTTGGCAGAAATAACTGCTGTTCGTTTTTATGTTGTGACTGAGGGTGTTTATGCTGTCTCGTTTTATAGATCGAACGATGACAACTGATGCTTTCTTTAAGGGGTTATGCATGAATTCTATCAGTAAAAGACGGGGTACGTAATTTTTCATTCATCTCTCGTCAATAGGAGCTCTATCATATATACAGCACTTTCATATGCAGTAACCAAACTCGCCCACAGAAAGCGCTGTGACATACCCACTTCCACATGAGGGGATTAGCATACAGTCACATTTCATAAACAAAGTTCACAGAAGCCAACACAGTTTCATCAAATACAAAACCAGACATCAGAACACGTGTAGAAGTGAGCGCATTGGAAAGCATTCGGGTTCCGTTTGTTCTCGATTTCTTTCGTTTAATCATATTGGTGTTCAGGTAAGAAACAATGTCCCATACAAGGTCTGTTGACTGTGTATCTTGGCGCCAACAGGATGAAATGTGGACTAAGACGAGCGATTAGGGATTATGAATTCGATGAACCGACTTGGTTTGCTATAGATAGACAGGACAAGTTGAAACAAAAGATAGCGACTAATAGGAGAGATTTGGAAGGGTCATTTTCTGAAACTGAGTTATGTTGTACGCTCATATTGCACGGACTTTCTAAAAGACATTCCATGAAAGTATCATAATACAGACAATTATTTTTTCTATTTTTCGACCTGCCTGATGATCTTTCTTTTGTTTGTATTGGTTATCATATCCCATAATTTATTTCTGTTCCCATTATTGTTATTTACAGGGGATTCAGCATCACGTCTAACTGCAGGTTTTGTGGGCGAATTCTGCACAACCCTCCGAATTCCATTCATCTCTATGACCCTGGGACAGGATTCAACGGGGCGTAGCATCGATTTTGTGAATGGAATGCACCTGTACTGGATATTGGATATGAGAGGAAGGCATAATGCATAAAATTCCTTTTAGTTGAACTAGTGTTGTCCGACATAAATATATGTAGGTGATAGTCAAACAATCTCACATTCATAATATTATGCCCAAGCATTTAACATCCATCATATTGCCCACCATAGGACAAGCGTCAATCGTATCACTGATGTTTCACGGTCTAAAAAAATGTTTGTGGTTAATATACAACATGGCAAACCTAATCTAAGTTGTTTGTGTGTATTTCGAAGGCACTTTGCGCACTCCATCGAAAACAGCAAGAAACTTTCAATAGAAAAAGATAGAATGGTCAACTCACCTGAGAGACCCAATAAGGCTACCGTAAGACAAGCACCACCAAATCTGATGTTCATCCGCAAACCTGATCCAGTGTTGCAATGTGTCATGTAACAGAGTCCTGCGTTGTTCATCCGTCTTGCGACATTCGATAGACGTCAGTGGCGAAACTCCTGATCCCGGTTTCCAATATATTCGACTCAAATTGAGCACAGGGTTGTTTTCTCTGAATGTTCGCAGCATCGCTGGTTGTGTGTTCAGGGCACTTGGTATTGAGCCCAATGAGATAGGGCCATATCCGAGCAGGGGCGACTTATTGGAATGTTTATCCGATTTGAACAATTCATGTCCCAATTTCCCTCGGTTACGCTCGCTTGGTCCCGTTTCCTGTTCCGCTTCGCCGTCTGTCAGGCTCACAGATAGCAATTCACGTAACTGTTCCAATTGTTTTTTATTCCACTGATGGTTGTCACGCATACGACTAATTAAATCAATCTGCCATACCGCATGCCCATTCGGTTCAAATACCGTAGTTGGTAAGCACCGATAGACATTGGAATTCAGTCGGTTCACTTCAATCAGTTCCTTGCTATCTGCAAAGTAAGTTCAATTGCCGGGTGTTAACATACCGGGGACCACAATATTATACTGGAATATATACGAGTAATAATATAGTATGAAAAAAACTCCCAGTAGTAGAAAAATGATTGAGAGGCCGTATATATTTTTAAACATCCTTTATTTATTTCACTTTTGGCATCACTTGAACCTTGATAAACAAAAGAACACAGTGACGTATGAAAACACAACTGATAGAGTAATGCATTGCAGAGGTAATTTATATGTGCAAGTGATATTCCATGGATCGATACTTTTAGTCTATTATATCCGGAGTTGTTAAATGGCTAAACACGTGATGGCAAGCACGATAAACTGGCGAAAACAAGTATAGTTGATTCTATATCTGAAAAATAATCCCGTGATATTTGATCCAAGAACGGCTCTTGAGTTAACACCCCTCTTTACTAACTCTTTGGACCTGCCTACAACATTTATCGATTGAAACATCTTGACTCATGTGATTCACTCGGCGTTCTGACAAACTACTCACGGTTGCCCTCATGTGTGTGCGGTGTGCACCACATAAGTGATAACGGATATGTTTGCCAAATCAGATCGATATTGTAGAGTTAGATATAAATGTATCTGTCACTCGAGATGTGAGTCAGCGTTCACACCTGTGTTTGTATCACTGAGACGATTCAGTTGAGCCACTCGGTGACCTCATACAGTGGTTTTCGTTTCGAAATCTTATATGTGGCAGTGAGTAGCGTGAGATTGTACGCGGCCAGTCGTTGAATTGTTCAGATAATCGTTCTATATCTGAGACACGTTTGTTTGAAACAGTAGTCACCTTGTGCACGAATGCTTAGATGCGCTGTCGTTCGGCATCATTGTGCAACAGAATATCAATTTACTCACTGGCTATATTCACTATTGTTAATACGGACTACAAGATACGGATTTTCGGGACACCTACTGAGCACAGAAACGATCGTCCAATTTAAAAAGCGGACAAAATACTCGTGATTGTAAGCATTAGATAAGATTAATTCATTTGTACATTCAACAGATGCTTTCTCACATTTGCTCTGTTGTGAAACGGTTGATTTCTTTTAGCCTACCGTCCTTAAATCACTTGGTTCTTGAATACCCATACCTGAATACGACACAAAATAATCATTTATAGATGTCTTCAAATTATCCCGCGGATACTCTGCTCAGCCACAGAATAATTCAGTAGAAAACATTGGGTATCTTACAATGAATACTGTCTCTGTTTCGAAGAGAGCACGGAGAATTCTGAAGAAAGTAACCCGTGGATCCATTAGGACACATGTGTCTACCTCAGTCACACTCTCATTCGAACCCCCAACTCGAATGGTATTAGGGTCTGAAGATTCAGAAGTTAATTTTGGGAACCACAAGGTATGCTCTCAGGACACAATTTGCCGTAACTGCTTTCCTAAAACTTGAATTATGTATAAAGAAAAAACGTAAACGATTTCGGTGATTGCTATCATATGAGGAAACAAGAAATTCTATGAAGTATTTAGCTTACACAGCTGCGATAGCTTCATACAAAACATACGCATAACTTTCAGAAGATTATCGAAAAAGGTCAGGCGTCCACACTAGACGGGGGGACGTCATGTGAGATTATCACTAGGACTATACACTGGGCCTTTCCGTTAAGTCATTGGACCTGTATGAAAAACATGGAGCTCAATAAGTGCGGATGAATAATTTACGTGAATTCTGTTTTCTTTTGAATAAGGAGCTGTAGTGCAACGGTCCACGTAAAAATACAAACTGCTGAAATGTTTAGTCCCTCTCTTATTATCCATAGCCAAGGACATGTTGCTATTCAGAACTTTGAAATAGTTGTTTGAGAGTACAACAGCGGGAAACGGTTTTTAACAAAGCGGTTGCGTTCATTTCCGTGAATGGGTCATTAATGGGGGTGACTTGAAAGCAGGCAGTTCGAAATAGTCTCGTGTCTATACTATTTCACAGTTGAAACTGTCGCTTGAACGATTGGCTAAGCACATAGTTGAGCCCCTTCAACAAGAAAGTGGAGTGAGTTAGCCCAAGAAGCATCAATGTTGTCAGGTAAAGAACAAACAATTTTGGCGTAAATTTGTACTTATTAATTCTCACAAGCCCAACATTAATTACCAGCCTTCTGTATCGTTCTACAAGATGGACATTTTTCTCTCGGTAATAGCTATTGACATACAAGTAAAGATGCCAAGAAGCAGTGGGAGAAAGCGATATTTAAAGATCCAGAAGGATTTCATTCTGAAAGCATAGAAAAGAATTCAACTAACTATTTAAACTGATTTAAAAGTTGGCAGATTCGTTGCAAAGGTGTGACGGACCAACGTCAAGGTTTATCACAGAATTACTTCGGTCAATTCCGTGAATCATAGCAATGTATCAAGCAATTTACCGAATCAAATATGAGCGAAAGATCCTGTTTGAGCGTGAAAGAGATAATGACAAATTTATGATCATGTATGGAACAGTTAGACCTGAAACGAATGAAATTTTGTCGGCACTGTTTTGGGTTAGACAAAAGCGTCTTAATTTTCAAAAGCTTGAATATTCCCATAATAGCATTGAGAAAACGAGTCGGTGAGCGAACAATTGTTTTCGGATATTCCTAGTCATGCTCTTACATATCATACAGTGAAAAAAATTATTACATAACGATAGCCATTGGCTCATTTCAAGGTCAATATTCGGAGGTAGGCAGTGATGGGTGTGTGTATCTTTGTGTATGTGTGTGTGTGTGTGGATGGGTGGGTCGGAGGGAGTTTAATGTGACCTTTAACCACTTGGGTCAAGTGACACGTCATGTTCCGTCTTGGTTTTCACACACGGCCAAGGCAATTGGAGTGCCTGCACCAAACGCTTTTGGGCACACAGATCGGGGCCTAGCAAGCGAATGGCGATCGCCTCGGCCATAGCTAGTGTCCAAACTCGGACAGCCCTCGAGCGATTGATTGGGATGCGATAAACCACATCGAAAGCCTTCTCCGGATCGATCTTGTGCCCGGTGTCGATGAGATGCCCCACAATCGCGCTAGAAATGCAACCGGTTTTTCCTTGACTCAACCATCGCGGGTGGTGCTCCTTAACACGTTGAGACAAACGCCTTACCGTACGACCTATATAACATGCGCCACAGACGCACTTAAAAGAGTAAATTATCATGGATGAGGTCAGTTTCGGCAGTTTGTCTTTCACCTGCATTCGTATCACCGGCGATGTAGAGAATACTGGTCTAAGTTTTGCCGCGGGGAAGGTTGAATTTACAGCCACTTTCAGTGATTGTACTAGGCTGTCGGTGTGTGCGTCCCCTTTAAATGGAATCCTTATGAATAGTTCCTTCTTGGGGACACAGATTGCGTTTTCCTTCTCCGGAGTGAGTTGAATGTTCTTGTCGATGAACTTCTCCGGATAACCATTGTCATGCAGCGTTTGACGGATGAAGCCTAGTTCTTCATCCAGTGTATCTGCTGAACAAATCTTCCGCGCTCTGAAGACTAGATAACGAACTAGATTGCGTTTATATTTCACTGGAACGAAATTATAGAAGTTAGTATATTGGCCATTCCATGTCTTCTTTCTGTGAATCTGTCTTCTGACTGATCCATCTTCTTTTCTGGACACGGCTACATCCAAAAAGGCCAAGTTGTTGTTCGCTTCAACCTCTACAGTGAACTCCAGTGAGGGATGTGCTTCATTAAACAATTTCAAAATCTGTTGGATGTTATGTTCACGATTGGTCACACAGAAGATATCATCCATATATCTGCTATAATGAGCTA